TATTGAAAACCTTTCACTCTCTGCTAAATAAACCTCAATGACATTTATATTACAGTCAGGGCCCCACAACTATCAACATTTTGGAGTGCGCATTGTGCACCAATGCTTCAAGGTATATTAATCAATAAATTATTTTTAATCAATAAATTGGTTTGACTTATTTACATATAATAATTGCATTATCGAAATAATCTAAATAATCTAGACGATATTGTTAAGCAAAGGAGAGCTCAACCTGTATTTATACCTCAACGTAAGAATATAAAATGAATTATATTTTATTTTTATCACCAATGATCTGACATTTGTTTCATATGATAAAGATATTAATCTAGATGATTTTAATGATTTGTATGCTGACGTTGAGGACATTGGCATTGGTGGATCACGCCAGGTATTCTATACGCTTAATATAGAAATCAAATAAATATAAAAAGCATCATTACTAATACTATTATGATTATTTTATTCAGCATGAAAGGGATAGCAGCTTACAAGATATTGAGCTTGAACGCTTAAGAAAAGCTGGTAGTCAAAGCAATTCAGCAATTACAGGAGTAAACAGTACTGGCACAGAAGTTCCAGATCTGTTAGGTAAATCAAAATTTCATAATTATTTACTATATTTGTTTATAAAAAAAGTGTTTCATTATTATGGATTAATGCTGAAATTATTTGTAGATTTTGATGGCAATTCATCAATAGAAAATATAAGTAGAGATATTTTGGAATTTTCGGGACAACTTGGAAGGTAATTAGATATAAACTTAAATATTTAGTATAGATTTAATTTGATATAAGCTTAAATTTCTAGTATAGATTTCATTTTATATAAACTTAAACATTTAGTATTTTAGATTTATTTGATATAAACTTAAATGTTTAATATATATTTTAATTTTTGATAAGACCATTTTATATAGTTAATTTGATGTAATATTTTGTATAGAATTAATTTGATATATTGAATGCCTATTTTACTTTTGAACAATAGTGTTGGGCAGCCAAGGTCAAGTTCCATAGGACCGCAGAGACCATCCATTTCTATGTCAGAAAGTTTTCATCCTTTTGACGATAATATTGAAATTCCGGACTTTCAAATATTTGGAGGTATATACACATCATAATTTTTATTAAATTTAATAGTAATTTAATTCTCTTTTATTTATAACGATGTTTCTAGAATTGGATGAAGATAGTTCAATGAGTGGTTCATCTACTAAAGGAAAACATCGGGATTCGGATTCAAGATCCGCTGTAAATAATGAACAGGAGCAATTAAATTTTATGGAATTTATAAAAGATTTGATGCAAAAAGCTGAAGTATCAAGCGCTATATTTCAAGATCTTATGGTGGCTCAGCATGTTAAACGAGCCGAAACAGCCAAAGCCTTTTATAATATTTTGGGTAAGTTATACCGGTATATATATATATATATATATGCATGCATGATTCATCTATATAATCTCATTAATTGATTTTATTATCAATAGGCCTCGCAACAAAGAATTTAATTAAAGTAAAACAAGTTCAACCATATGGTGAAATTGTAATTGAACTTAAAGAATAATTTATTAGAAGTCAGTTTCTGTGTATAATATTCAGTGTTGCATAAAATATTAGAAAAGAATTACGTATAGCACTCAAAAAAATCACGTAATTTCAAACTCATTAAGAACTGTTCTAAACGATTAGAATAAGCTTCAGATTTTTTATATTGAAATTGTATTTTAAGCGTCCCATCAGTAGCCTAATGTCGGAATTGACTTTGGTCTCTTTTGTTATAATTCTGATTGAAAAATATAAATATAAGGTTATTATTTTCGCAAAAAAACCAACTGATCAAAAATTAGCATACCACAAATCAAGGGCACAGTTTCGATAATTCGAATTTAACATAAATTATGATTTGTTTTTTTCAGTTTCGCATTTCTTATTTGTATTTCATATTTCATTTCATATTTTTATTTTCTATTATACTAACAAATAAAAGAAATAATAAGAAACAAAAGTTAAACATCTTATGTAAATATTCGGATAAATAAATAATCATTTTTATTTTTATGGTAGATATGTAAAATTTAAGAACGTAAATTTTCCCTTTACTCAGTGTATAAAATCTCTGTGCGCATAGTTTATTGTACATATGGGGTGTTACATATTAAAACAGCCCATTTTTATTTGATTTTTTTGAATAGATATTTATAGTTTTTCCATAATTAATAAGAGCTAATTGTATAGTAAAAAATCACTGTCTTTACAATATTTTGGATTACTGTTATCGAATTTGAAAATACTGTATCACATGATCATATGATCTGAATCAGCCAATCAAATTGCAGAATTGATATGATTAGCATTTTATTAGGGTTAGATGTTAACAGCAAAATTGCTCAAGGAAATGTTTTTGTTAGAGCACTAAATGAGTTTCTGGTTTTTTTTTTAGATTTTTGAGAAATAAGCGATTTTGAACAAAACGTATTGAAATCTGATTTTAGCTCAAGAATTCCGCGCCACAAACCTAGTACACATTTCAAACATGCCAATTAGATCGTGGACTTATGCCCATCATTGATTTGATTGGTTGAGTCTCACGCGGCTAAATATCAGAAATGATAGGTTATGAGATATTATTTATGGAACCGACATGGTGGATCAAAATTTAATCGTTTATGGCAGGTTATCCTATCAGTTTTGAGAGGGCCGATGGTATTTAGTAAATCCCTCCTAAAAACAAAAAAAAAAACGTAAATAGAAAAAAAAGTTAAAAAAGTAAAGTGTCATCCGTGCATCCGAATGATCAACTGATATAAAATTTTACCTGATAGACATTCATGTAATTGGTTAATTTATTTGAATTATAGCAAATCAATAGGCAGATCAATATTATGTAATTTAGTACACGGATAAATATCAACCGTTATACAACGTCATTGACGGAAATCTGAAACTTCCATTATTTTAGATTTTCAGTATTTCATCAAAGAGAATAATCACATGAACCTTTCTATCTGTAACGTTATAGATCAGCCTAAGGTTCCGATAGGCTGGTTTAAAAGCTGAAAGGTAGTAAAAAAATTTTGACCGGGTATGAACGATATTTTATACAGGGGTCTGAACTTACATAAAATGAAATAATTGGTATTTCTTTGACTATTTAAGATGCATTTAAGTATTGCTTTTTAATTTCATCAAAATCGTTGCAAATATCAAAATATATAAAATCCGATCTCTAGTGTAATCAAAGAACTTCCGGCATACAATAATTAATAATATTTAATCAATAATATCAAGAAGAATGCCAATTATAATACTAGCCAACTCATAGTACTCAAGGATAGGTAAACTATACATTTTTGAATGTTAATAAAAATAACGATGACAAGATGTGTTTTATGTTCCTAATCTACGAATGATATATAAATTAACTAATGACGCGTAACAAGTACACGCTTACAATAAATATCAGTAATAATAATATCCCAGCTTATCGTTTTTTTTCGTTATTTTTTGTATGTTATTACGTAAGCACAACAATCCCGAATTAAAACTCAGTCAACCACGACTTGTAAATCATAATTGCACGATAACATCGATATTGGGTCATGCGATGATGTCGGAGCAAATTTCTTATACATATTAATTACATATTAATCAAGCTGATTATATATAACACTTCTGCTAACTAATAGCATTATATTTAACTAATAATATATAATAAAAATTTTTATAGTCAAACTTTAATGCTATGTTGATTCCAAATAAACATAGGTTGTAATGGAATTCTAAAATGTGCCCGAGTCGTTAAAGGATTCTAATTCAACTTATAATTAAATAATAGATTCAATAACAGATAAATTAATATTTCAGATATATACGTAATTTAAAATCAGGCAACTAATATAAATATGGGAAGTTTCAAGAACACGGAACCCAGTGATGATCACGAATTATCCCCTCGATATAATCACATATTAATTTTGA